AATTTGATGGCCGAAACATCAATAATCTTTTGGGGTTTCCAATGGAGTACGATTGGTTGGAGTCACTTGAAGTTACAACGGATTCACTTGAAGTTGAAAAGGTATAGATCTCATCCAGTCTGAATGAACTGACTCCTCCCTAAATATACAATAGTACTTTTGCAGTGAGTTACCAAGCAAGGATGAAAGTTTCCGTGACGTGGAGTGGGCTGTTCGTCCCTCTCTCCCACGACGCACCCTAGGACTGCATGTCCGTGATCGTTGATCGGGTGTGAGTCATAGATGTGAATGAACGAACCCGGCGGTAAGTGACCTTTGTCTGCCAGGTGAGGCAGCGAATCACGGTCACCTCATCTGAACATGAATATTGGGATGAATCATTGTATGAGTGGATTCAGTCCCGAATCTCTCTCAGTATCCTAATGAGTAAATTCTATTGAGACCGTGATTCCCTCAAATAACACTGCTTCCTTTGAATGAAATGTGATTGCCTAGGTATTTTTTGTATCGAAAGGCACGGTTCACGAGATGCTTAACAGTAATTCAGGGATACAGTGAAAGAATTAACAGTATTTCACCTGAGTAATATGATCAAATGACGGTAACTCTGTCCTGGGTGCTCCATGGAGTATTAAGTTGAAATGGGTAAACTCTTCTACGCTTGGTTGCCGCACTATTGATCCACGATTTACTTCTGCCTGAGGAACAGTTGCCTTCACTGACGAATTCATGAAGAATCTGGGAAATATGTTACAAACGGGCGTCCGCTGTGCCACCGAATATCGCATAGGGAGAAAGTTCAGTGGCACTGCGGATGCCACGTTACAGCATAGTTCCCGGACGAGTGGTACCACGAACGATTGTGTAAACGAGCTATCCACCAGAAAGGTGGAAAACAGTGACATTTTCTCTATCAAGAACTGAGCTGAGCAGGGCGGTTGAAGGCACAACCCTTTTGTTAAGACCGAATTCCAACCGCGACGCTATGCAAGGTAAGTTAGAGCCAAACACAGAAAATCAGAACACACAAGACAGCGTGCGGCTCGGGATCGGGTTTACGATTTAATGAATAATCGTGAGAGTAAATTAATCGATTTAAACGATGACTGGCAGTTAGGTCAAGCTGGCATATGGACAAAACTGATTGCAGAAGTATTAGTCGGTGTGTGTGTGTCACGAACAGCTGTGTCACGCGATTGGACGATCAATGGGAACTGATAGATGAGTGCGTACGTGGCACCTTTTCAAATTATTGCTCAAGTCTGTAGTCACTCACGTCCTTAGGGTTATATTTATTCCACTCAGAGGAAAATCGTTAATGTTTTCACAGATATACTTGCCAGTTTTTATTTTAGTGGATTAAGACGGTTGATTTGTTCGCACGATTACCGAAAACTTAAAGTTTATGCGCTCAGTCATTCCAAATCGTTCTTTTAGTCCATCTTGCAATGATTGACAACTGTGAGTTTTTTTTAATGAACAGCGGTCAGCTTCCCGCGCCAGATACACAAACAATTCGGGGACTGTGTGAATTAACCAATGAGTTGTGATCATCCACTACCATCTGACACTGTCTAATCGAATACAAGGACAAGTGAATTGCAGTTGAAATTTATTCTCAACAATGTATTTCTGGCTGAGTGAATCACCGGGACTAGCACGAACAGATTATTTGGTATTGTGTCATATCAGTTGGAACAAAGTGGAAATTTCGCTGTCCTATATTCCTATGTAACGCCGTTTAAATTCTCCCCGTTTCCTCATTTACTGTCTTTGTCCCACAGTATCACAGAATCGGTGCTGTATTAAAACAAGAAGGATGCCCAGTGATCTGCATTTCACGTCTACTCAATGCGGCAGAAAAGGGATACTTGCAGACTCAAAAAGAAGCGTTGGCTGTATTTTGGGCTGTTCGACGATTGTACGAGTATCTTTTCGGATTGCGGTTTACCATCTTCACTGATCACCAAGCGCTACAGTTCTTGTTCAACCCCAACAAATCCATCGCGAAGTCCATTGCTGCTATGCTACAGAGGTGGAGTATCGCTCTAGCCGCATATAACTATGACATCCAACATCGTGCAGGAAAGACAATCCCGCAGGCTGACTTCCTCTCTCGCTACTCACAATTTTCGGAGGCCGAACAGTGTCATTTCATCTCCCCAGCACCACCAGTGTCTCGGGAATCTTTACGCAAATCTACCAAACAGTACTACTCGGACATACTCTCAGCGATCAAGAAAGGCTGGTCGCCAGAGGTAAAGAGAAAGTATCCTCAATTCTTTGCTCATCGAGAGGAGTTGTCAGTACAATTGGATGGCGTATTATGTCGCGCCGGTCGATTGGTAATCCCACCGCCACTACGGAAGACGGTACTAGAAGAATTGCATAAAGGACATATGGGGGTGGAAAAGATGAAATCATTGGCTCGACAGATGTGTTGGTGGCCGGACAATACCTTTTAAATCCAGACGCTTGCGATCCTCCCTACAGTGCCTCGACTCCATTGATGTTGTATACTTCCGTGGTAACGATTTGCGACACGCATCTGGTATAGTCACACGACAACTGGGTCAAGCCATGGTGGAAATTACCGACTTGAATGATGCTACTGTGCTCAAGCGACACGTGGACCAAATCCACTTCAGATCATCCATGGACCAGCGGCATCAAGAGACAAGCGAGGGTGACAGTCAGTTGCATACCCCATCAGCACAACCGACGGAGCCGCATGAGTCAGATGTGCAGAAACAACCAATCGAAACACAAGGACACCGCCAGGAACAGGCGGAGCCATCGATTGCAGTCCGCAGGTCTAGCCGTCAGGCGAGCCAGATTGATGAGGCACTCTTGAGGGAAGAGAGTTGTGCTGATCCAGACTTCCGTGACCGCAATCCATGCACGACTAGGTACAGTTTCATGTCATCCAATCACCGTTTTGGAAGCTCGACCAATGGTACACTGGGTGAACGTGACATCCGAGTTAGTACATATGATGCGTCGGCGCAAACGGTTACGTAATTGGACGACGGCCCTTCAACCAATCATGTGAGATATTTCCTTCCATAAAACATGCTCTAATTCTATCAATAATTATAAGCATTTGCTGCTATCAATTCCTCGTGTATTTCATTGGTGTTCGCAGTTTGGGTTGGAGCCAATTCAGTTCTGAGCAGTACAGTACGGATTCTCGTATACCTACATTCAATACTATTCTGATTACTAAAATTTTGCAATCACATCAGTTACTTGATAGTACCAGCAGATCCGGAATATTGTGTTTTAATTTTTCAGATTTATTTTCATCCCAAGTCAAGTTAAATACACGCTTTATGCATCCCGGAAATTATTCTATTTATTCCACTGGCCACCTTGAAAGTGTATAAACAAGTTTTCAACCATTAGTATCAAACTAAAGCTTCGAATACTGAGTTTCTTTGAAATTGTACTGCATGTTTCATGCAGACTGTGTTGCGTCATCCAAGTTAGCAGATCGTATCACGGGATGTTCATAGGGTATGACCAAAATAGTTGGATTGCTCATCCCGATAAGGCAACCATATTTTCCGATGTGAATAATAATATGAATAATGTGAAAGATAAATCTGTCGATTTTGTTTGGTCTCATTGAGGTCACACCCGTGTCAATCAGTGCCGTGCTTTATGAGAATCTGACTGTAATGCTATCGTTTCTACGGGTGCAACTGAAGGCTCACTACGATGAACGTCAAATCCGAATGCATTAAAGAAATTTTGGTCACTCTGTTCGGCAACTACTTAGACGGAAAACTGATTACAATCAAAAATATTCCTCAAATACCAGTATCGATGATCAGTTTGTTTCCGTTATAGGGAATCATCTGGTATAGCCTAGACAGATCATTAGAACATTGGACATGAGATTACGTGGATTCACAAAAGCTACTTTAATCCACATTTTTCATGAAATTTCGAGCGTGCACGGTGTCGAATAACAATGACAAGTTTAAAGGGAAGAAATCTGAACATCATGGGTGCTATGAATGCTGATGGCTTATTGCACTATACTCTGAAAAAGGGATCCTGCGACTCTGCAATGGTTGCAAATGCTCGCCGATCAATTATTACAAGAAGAGCACTAATCGTATGCGATTGTGTGTGAAAATGAGCCCTTTCACTTAAAACTGGAAAACGTGGTCGCCGGACGAGGAGTGAGCACCTTCAGACTTGCTCCATATTCTTCAGCGTTAAATCCGTTGGAAATGATATTGAGCATCAGAACAGGTTGCATCAAAACGGAGCTCCGTATGCGACATGCCAAGACCATGGCGGATGATCCTGAAGGACGAATGAACCAATTGGATTGGAGAATGGCATGTCTAGAAAGCATTAAAGGTGGTGTCCAGTCTCTATTCACGAAGGATCATTGTCAGTGATGCATCCAACCATGTACATGCTCATTATCAGGCGGCTATCAAAATGATTGATTTCTAATACAATTGCTGGTTAATTCTTTATTTTAATCACTGAACGTTTTTGTAGCGGACAGATATAATTCAGAAAGTTCTAACATTGTAGAATTCAACCTACCATGTGTTTGAGAAATTTAGAGCACATTCACAATTACCGTAGGTTTGTTTTCCAATTTTCGTTGACGAATAATTTCATACAGAAGCAGTCCCTTATTTAGGCAGTGTTTTCCAGGGCATATGGTGATTAAAGGCAAATCAAAGCGGGAAGTTCATGTATTATTAAAACAAAACGATCATGTAGACCAGGAGATTAGGTCGACTTTGTGCTTTTCGTTGGGTTGTAAATGGTACAGACTATCAACAACTGGGGTTTATTCCAGTTTAGTGGAAATAATCATCAACAGTTGGATTTTTTTTTAAATTGTGGACGAAGGAGGAATCATCCTTGATTTGTGTGGTGAGTGATTCGCGGGGACAATCATCATTAGCATCATTATCATACAGCGAGGTACAGTGAAGCGAACTTCACCGATCGCTATGAAGCTCACAATGTACACACAAATCAAGTGATACAGTACAAGATGGAGAAGACTGGGGCCTAATTGAAGGAAGACAAAGAAAATGAAATTCTATGGTTAGCACACAGAATACATAAACGAACTCGGCATACATACGTTTTCAAGCATTCTGACCTGATAAGAAATGAAAACAAGAACGCCACTGCTGTCGGTTAGTCGCCATATCCTTCAGTGTGTCCAGCCATCCAGTTGCAGAGTCTTTCAGACCCCAACCTGGAAGATGGGAGTCACCGATTCTACCTGATCGCTCTGTGCATTTCTACATGCCTCGTTTCCACGTCATCTGTTGACCTCCACGCGGTTTCGTCCAACCCGGAGCCGCAACTGCGAATAGGGCGCGGTGCGGCAGACGATGGCTGGGCATGCGCAATACGTGTCCTAACCAGTGAAGCCGACTAATTTGAATTCAATGGGACAACGAATTCTCCATCGAATCCTTACCAGATACGCGACGCCTCACCTCAGAGTTGCTTACAAGCTCGCTCCATCCAATCCGAGCCAAACTATGTAAACATATGCAGTCGAATACTTCAAGACGACGAATATCTTCTATGTGCAAATTTAAGGTCTCTCAACCATATAACAGAACTGATCGCACACAGAAGCAGTATAAGCGACTTTCGGTTTCAACGAAACATTGCGTCTACACCAGAGGTATTTCAGTCCTGCGTAAGCTGCTCTAGCCTTGGAAATGCGGGTGGTTACTTCATTGACTGTACTACCGTCATTTGAAACACAGCTACCTAAGTAGGTGAAACGTTCCTCCGCAGCTACTTCTTGACCATCAAGTATCAGTGATGGGATATATGACACCCAGTCTTGTAGCATCACTTTGCACTTTGAAGGTGCAAAGCGCATACCGAAAGGAGTTACAGAGCTTGAAATTCTGTCAAGAGCGTTTTGCGTATCATCCATAGATTCGAACAGGCACACGATGTCATCAGCGTACTCTAAATCGCACAGCTTTTCTCCAGCTGCCCATTCAATGCTTACGTTTTGAAGACCACTAAGNGAACAGGAATGGCGAAATAGGGCACCCTTGACGGACACCGCTCCTGGTTTCGAACGATTCGAGGGGAAAAGCCAAGTGCAATAGTCACACCATCGGCTTATACATGCTAGACATTCCGTGAAGCGTGCCTTTCAATACAAAAAATACCTAGGCAATCACATTTCATTCAAAGGAAGCAGTGTTATTTGAAGGAATCACGGTCTCAATAGAATTTACTCATTAGGATACTGAGAGAGATTCTGGACTGAATCCACTCATACAATGATTCATCCCAATATTCATGTTCAGATGAGGTGACCGTGATTCGCTGCCTCACCTGGCAGACAAAGGTCACTTACCGCCGGGTTCGTTCATTCACATCTATGACTCACACCCGATCAACGATCACGGACATGCAGTCCTAGGGTGCGTCGTGGGAGAGAGGGACGAACAGCCCACTCCACTTCATGTAAGCTTTCTCTCTTGCTTGGTAACTCATTGGAAAAGTACTTTTGTTTGTTTTCAGAAACTTCCGTTCATTGGGACTGGAAGGGGTTTAGACAGACCCGGTCCAATTGGTGACATTTGACAACCGAAACACTATTAATTATTTGGGGTTTCCAATAGAGTGCGATTGGTTGTGATCACTTGAAGCTACAACGGATTCATTTGAAGTTGAAATGGTATTGTGCAAGCAAGATGTTGTCATGCTGTGCAGTCAACAAACCAATCCATGCGGATAGATACTGACAACTGATTGACTGAGCCGCATCGTTCCCGAAACTTGTGCATGTGTGCGTGGTGGTAGGCTGCATCACTCCATCGTGAGGTAAATGTTTCAGTCTACTGAATGCCACAACAGGACGGACAGTTGGAACAGATGAGTAAGTGATTACTTCAACTGAGACGATTTTCTATTGAGCAGAACAAGGATGAAACCAAATTGTTTTACGGATTTCTCCAACCCAGTTGCCTTGGGTTGGTCACGATACAACTACAGTTCGTGAGTGCACAGATAGGTCTAATTGCGTTTGTATTAGGCAACTATCTATTCTCCTGAACTCCTGGGTTATTTTGTCTAGTTACTTGGACATCCACCAACACGGAAGCTGTCGTTCAACAGAGATGAAGACCTAAATTGTAACTCTTGTATCTATGTGATTGATGTCCAAGAAAAAAGAGAAAGTAACACTGACAGGGGTGAAATTAGAAAAACGGTCTTTTAGATGGAAATGCTGGACGGAAACGCGCACGGCAGCTGTGTTTCCAAATTGCAAGTGTTCATCTTACCGTCAGGACTGATGCGAGCTTACGCCGAGCAGCCCGACAGCGTTTGGAATCCCTCGCGCTGTTCACGGACATAAATGTGTTCAATGTGTCTTTTTACTTCCTTTTTTATTTATTGAATATATAAAGGTACTGTGAACATTTAGGAAGGGGGCCGTGGTCATACGAAGACTGTCTGGGAAGACGGGCGGCGATGGAGCGGTTCGAACCAGGGACTCCTAGGTCACAAGTTAGTGAATTAATCATTTGGCCACCACCGCCAAACTACTCAGCGTTATTTCGGGTTTCATGGAACTGCCCAAACGCACTGGTTTTTGCAGGCTGTTTTTCCCCAGGTTAATTAAAACCTCGTTCAGTGGATTTTCTCCAAGGCTTGGTGCTTTTGTCTGCACAGTAGCTCATGATCAATTTTGTTCAGGTAAAAGAAAGTTGTATGTTGAGGTGATCAGGGCAGTTGACATAGACGGTGTGAGAGCGAGATAGAGTTTGCCGATCTGATCACTACGATTTTTGAACATCTTCGCAAGCAACAATTTTCAGCTTCCAGTGAAGGTCAGTTCCAGCTTCATAATTTGCATAAAACTAAAACAAATGAAGAATGTTACATCCTCAGGATATCCATGTTCATTTCCTTTTTTCTACAATCATTAACCATGCACCTTCGTGGGCTGGTTTTTGGTTGTTGTCTTTAGATTGCCCTTTGGGACAAAAGAGCAGAAGGATGATTAGAATGTTGAGCGTCACAGAAAAGATAGAGAATAGAAATAGACTCAGGTTGCAGTGAGCCAATGTCTACGTGAAGGTCCCTGTTTGGATTCACTTTTCGTTTTCACTTCATATTCGTCATCTTCAACTTATTCGATCTCCGTACGTCAACGTTACACTCCTCCCTACCCTCATCCCCGAGCCTCTTTTGTCTGTTTGACTTAACTAACTATGTACACACATTTGTTTGTGTTTGTTCTGTGTGCATCCTTCACATGCCAAGCACTTCTGACGCGCATGTTGCTCAATGCACCAGTACCAGTAGTTGGCTCTGATTGATCAACATTTCTATCTCCGGTTCATCAGCACCTCGTCCACATATATGCCCGTACAACACCACACACATTTTGCTTCTCTGACACACGTTTGACCTTGATATTGCTCTCTGTGAGTCACCTCTATTGTTTTCGTCTTGGACGAATTCAACCGAGTCTGAATCAGTCCCGGTC